GCCTCGATACTAGTCAATTGTATCAGGTCCATTCTAGCATATCAGGCAACCAACTTACACAAGATTTCGAAGAAGGACTTGAATCCCATATTTTCTAGAGGACTTGATAAAAGCAATTTGAGCATGCCGGTTCCATCCATGTTCCGAAAGAGCGAGTATAATAGCTTATGATACAATAGCTACTTTCAGGACTTTCACTAGATGATTGGAGTCACGGAGTTTTCATGCTTCATTCTTGGGATCTTGTCTAGATTTGGATTCAATCGACAATAGTAAAAAGCAGTGATAATGATGATGAAGATGAGCCCTTTTTCTGCTATTACAGGTTCGGGCGCACCATTCTTTTTTGAAAAGAAAGGGGGGAGGGTGTCTTTCTCTCAAGCTGTCAAATGCCCTCAAAAAGTTCACAATTATGTAACCCTTTAAAGAGAAGGGGAGGGGTGCTTTTATAAGCACTCCTAGCTTGGCGAGGAAGCCAAAGGAGGCTTCTAGGGTTGAGCGCCACTTTTTCCCTAGAGCCTCTCTTCAATTTTGCATTGCCATCCATTCAAAATTTTCATTCCTGTCTGTCGCTACATAGAGGAAGTGCGGCCGCACAATCTAGGTGTAGCCGTACCATGCACGTGTGGATGCATGTGCAACTAGGGGTCCAAGTGTTAACATTGTAGGTTAGGTGCTAGTTTGCATGGCTTTTGCCTACTTATGGCCCAAGCGAGCCCAAATTGTTCTTAAATCAATGTTTTTGACGAAATGGATTAGTAATTTTGGAAAATACCGTCAATCCAAGCACAATCGGGCTTCCCTTACTTCTCAAGGCTAACAAAATGGTTTTTATCTTAAAAACGGGTTCAGGGGAATTTTTGTCATTTTTTAAAAAAATCATTTTTTTTGGGCCGAAATAGGGTGTAATAGCAACTTTAAGAAATTTCCAACATTCTAATGGTGAAGATATTACCATTTCATCATTGGGAGTCCTATAAGTGCCCAAAATCTTAGAGTCAGTCAAAATGGGGTGTCTACACCTATGGACTTGACTTATTTACTTACAAATCATGCTTCTTTTTTCAATTGTCAATATCCCAAAAATACCCTTACCTTATCTCATTCAACACTCAACCACAATATTACTGTTATCACCTACCACTAAGAGCAATTACCTTCGGTCACCAACGACAACCTCCAACCTCTAGCAATGATTTCCGACGTCTCTAACTATCGGCAGCTACCCCGAATCTCCGGCGACTTTCGGCTACATATTTCTAGCCATTTTCTAACAAAAGCAATGTTCATCTCCACCACTACCAATTTAGATCTGATAGCAACAACACACATACATAGAGATGAAGATAATGGAGAGAGATGAGAAAAATATAGAGAGATTAGAAGAAAAAATAAAAAAGATAGGTGAAATGTGAATAAATCATACCTATATTTCACATAGTTTCATATACTTTTTTTTTTTTTTTTCCAAAATCTTTCTTATTTTAGCATGGCGATAATGGTTGTTGATTCGACATTGCTTTAACGATATACTGTTTAAATAAGTTTGGAATTCTCCTTTCTACCATCTTTTTATTAAACTAGTTCTCTTTTGTATTTTTCTAAGTGAAGAGCTCGATTCAAGATCAAGTCAAGACTGTTTTTTAATCAGTTCTAAAACTCAGTTTTAATCATTTGGTTATGTACAATACTTTAAACTCATCTAAAATAAATTGTGGTTACATATAAATTGGGAGGGAAATGGGAAGGGTAGGTCAATTACATGGGAGTGATTAATTTTGATTGGTGTTAAATTGTGTTATGAATGCCTTCAAACACGAGTAATTCGCTAAGCATTATATAGTTCCCATATGATTTGTAAACTAAAATACACTGTTATCAACTATTTTGTCAAAATTAACAACAAATATGAAACATGTGAACATAAGGGATTTTGTGCTCACATCCAAAATGGCATGAAAGTAAATCACACATGAAACAATAATGCATAAGGGGTTAAAGTAAATTTTACCTCAAAAAAATATCAAAAATATTCATGATTTAATTTTTATATATATTAATTCTCATAAAAATAAAAGTAAATTTTAGGGAAAAAATAGTTCATAAAAAAAATTATATCATGACATTAGCAAAATTCACCACAATGAATTGGTTTCCGGTGACAGCTATTTGGTATCCATTTTTTATTTTTGAAAACTTGTAAACAATTTGTAAAATTTACTAAATTCTGGTAATCACAAAAAAGTTAATTTTATTTATTTTTCATTCATTCCTACTTGTACCCCCTCTAACCACCACCGCTCATCACTACCATTGACTACCACATATGGCCTGCATTGCTGATGGGGACCAAGCTATGCCATGGTCTAGGGTGGCCATGGCCCCAAAAAAGTTCTTCAAAATTATACAATTTTTTATTTTTTAATTAATATTAATATTGATTTTTTTTCTTCAATTTTTTTCTAGGGTTTCAACGCCGTTGGTGAACAACCATCGGTGGCTAGGGTTTCAACGCAGATCAACGCAAATCGCGATCGGGACGGCGACGGCGACGACGATAAACAACGCAGATAGAGAGAGAGGGATGGCGGTGGTTAGGGTTTCAGATCGCAAAGAGAGAGAGGGAGAGAGCTCTGGTTCTCCGACCAAATCGCAATGCTCCGATTAGGGTTTCAGATCGCGAAGATAGAGAGAGAGAGAGAGAGAGCTCTGGTTCGTTGAGAGATTTGGTTCTCCAACTAGATTGCGATGCTCCAGTTAGGGTTTCAGATCGCGAAGATAGAGAGAGGGAGAGGGGAAGAGAGAGAGAGAGAGAGAGAGCTCTGGTTTGTTGAGAGCTCTGGTTCTCCGACCAGATCGCGATGCTCCAGTTAGGGTTTCAGATTGCGAAGATATATATATATATATATATATAGAAAGAGAGAGAGAGAGCTCAGGTTCTCCGACCAGATCGTGATGCTCCGGTTAGGGTTTTAGATCGCGATGGCGGTAAGAGTTTCATATCATGAGTGAGAGAGAAAGAGAAGAGAGATCGCGAAAAGATAGAGAACTGTGGTTGGTAAAAAAAATATAAAAATATATTGGAACAGAAAATGCAACTAAGATCCTATACCCTGCCAACTGTTTATATAAAGAAATAGCATTGGTAAAAAAAAATGAACATGAAAGGAGTGAGAGGTTACCTAAGAGCTGGGACACTTTGACAATATATAAGCAGGACATAAGCAAAATCACCAACAGTTTGAAAAAATGATCTCAATTAATGAGAGCCTCTCATAATAGTGAAGACAATCCCAGAAGAATGATGATTCAATTTAGAAACACTGGCAAGATAGATGCAAAAGCGAGGCTAATCACATTGGGAACGAGAAAGAGAAAGACAAAGAAAAACAGGAAGATGATCCCAAGGAGGAATGACTAGGCTCGAATAACATTAGAATGAAGAAACATCCAAGAGAGAGAGAGAAGAGGCCTGATTGAGGAATGGACAAAAGGAAGAGCATGAGTGAAACATCACCTTTGTTATGCACATACCAAATGGACCGAGGGATAGAAATAAAATAATAACAGAATCCTGGTGAATCTTCTTCCTGCTACGGACCAGACAATAAGCCATTCCCTAAAATTAATCTGGTTGGAATATTCCATGAGAAGCAAATTAGACTGGTTTAACTAAGTTGCAAAACAAGGAATAGATATTCAAAGGATTCTGGAGCAAGCCCATAGAAGGGACATTTAGAAATTGGAGAACAAAATCTCTTAACTAGCGAGGGCCCTCAAAGGTAACCAACGCGGAATCAGAAGGATATTGAGATAGAAAATAGTATGCAGATTCAACTTAAAAAGTCACAAGAGCTAACGAAGGGTCAAATCACCCTAGCAAGGCTCCAAACTAGGAAATAGGCAGGGAAAGAATTGCTTGATAAATAGATGGGGGAAACATAGAAGAAATAGTAAGATCTTTCACCCACAGAATATGAGACTTCAATTGTTGGAAACTAAAGAGGTGATACACGAGAGGAAAAAAAGGGCATCCAATTATCCACAGTATGGTTTCTAGTAAGCAAACTAAAACCCACCTAGCTCAATGTCTTCTAGCACTTGACAATCTATCCATCACAATATATTCATTGTCTCAACAAAATGATGGTAAAGTGTATTAATATTCAATATATTACAAACTTATAAAATCATATTCAAAAAAATTTAGTATGTGCATACCCCCTTTTAACATAACACTTTAAATTGAATATGAACAATTAAACCACAAAAATCACCACTCTTGAATTATTGGTTCCTTTTTCAGTTCACCATCCCCACCTTCTCTTCTCCCATACACATCATTCAATCCATAAAGATGCCCTTAGTGAGAACATACTAGATGTGCCAATATGTGAGAGAGAGAAAAATATTGTAGGTAAAAATTGTGAATAATGATAATGAAATACCATCCAAATTGTCACGGAGGGAGCCAAGGAGGCAAAATGGATATACGAGCAACAATTTGTCATTATCAGTGTCCTCCGCATAGCCAATCAATCTGATCACATTGGGGTGATTGCACATGGACATGAATTGCACCTCAGCCTATCAATCAACATAACAATATTAGAACAACATAACCAAATTGAAATAATGAAGAAAACAATATTAAAAACACATACCATCCACATCTTCCTGGTTTTACTTTGTCTGTCCTTGAATACTTTGACAGCGATCTCTTGTTTGGTTAGCTGATTGATATTTTGTTTAGAAATTTTTCCTTTGTACACTTTTTCAAATCCATCCTGACCTAGCTCATGGCTGAAATCCTCAGTAAAAAAACGCAACTCGTCGAGGTCAAAAACCACTGGTGTGTCTTGAAGATGAGAACCCAAATTAGATGTAAAACAAAAAAAGAATATGAATCATAATAAATAACAAACATTGAAGAGCACTTTAGATTAAAATAAATAATAATAAAAAATGAACCGTAATGGTAAAAAAATTCTTGTGCAAACAGTGGAGAACATATGTAATATAATCATAAATTTCGTGACAAACACTAGAATATATCGTAACTTTCCTAACCAAAATGATTCTACAAATGGCTTATAACATGATATTTATATCATACGGTTCATAACATAACTAAAATAATTTGTAACTTCCAGTTGCGAAGTACACACCATAAAAATTGTTGATTCAAAACTTGTATCATAAAAACTCATAACTTTTTGATAGAAGAGATGCATACTAGCATTGTTCATGTATGAATAAATGTAGACATGTATGCTATGAAGCACAAATACTTCAAATAGGGTGACATATATGTATCGGATATTGATACTCCTTGGATACTCGCTGATACATATCGGATACTTATTAATTAAATTTTCATTAATTTTGGAGTATCGAATACTTCATTTTGAAGTATTGGATACTCCAAGTCATGTATCACTTAGTTTACAAAATTAGAATTGTAGCATTTCTTGTATACTATTATAATATAATATAATTGCAAGGATAAATATAAGAATATTTTTTTAATACTTTGTTTAGTTCTTTGATAAAAAGAACATAGTGAGTTAATAATAGAATTTGTCAAATTGATGTATCCTAATTGTTTCATGCATGTCCCCTATAACTACATAGAAAGTAAGGATTAACAAGAGAATGTAACAATAATAAAATTAAATATCAATAATTAAATAAGCAAGTAAACTTTAATACAATATTTTTTACTAGTGCCAAATGGAAAAGCACAAGGACAAGTTGTAGATTGTTCTATTAATGTAAATTTGTAAACATATTAGACTTGATATTGAAATGAAATATTTGCAAAACCAATGGAAAATTTAAAAGGTAAACAAGGTAGTAGGTTAAATTAATACCTAATTCTTAAATGTTAGTGTTTTGCATTATAAAATTACATTGTGGTTTATCAACATTCTTTAGCTTATGTGTAACTCACTACTAATAATTTTTTAAAAAAATATATATTTTTACAAACATATTCGAGTCGTATGTGTATTTTTTTTAGGGTTTGTCATATCGCCGTATCTGTTTCCTGTATCCATATATGTGCTTCCTAACTATGTTATGCGGACTCTTCAAATAAATCAAATACCCATGTCAGACACTCGGACAAGGGTATGGGATAGATGTTGGATACTTTTCAACGGATACTTCTTATATAATTGTATATGACACTACTATTATATAGACATATTGTTGTATAATTGTTATAAATGTCTTTTTGATACTGTAAGTTACATATTGCACCATTTTATTTTACATACTTGATTAAAAATATAAGTTTGGCATTATGAGAAGTGTAAAGAGAGGAATTTTTGGGTGTGGTGCAACAAGAAAATGGGTGTAAGGAGTTTATTTGGTGGTATAAGTAGAATCACTCAACATTCTACCTTTGACCCCAAAAAAAGACATTTTTGTTTCAAATTATTTATCTAACTTTTTTTAAGAAAAAAAAATACTGGATTAAATTGGTTTATTAAATGCTAAAAAAGAAATTTTTATAATTTATTAAATTCTTTAAATTTATTAGTATACTTTTTTTACTTCTAATAATTTTTATAGTTTGTAAAAAAATTCAAATTAAAAAAGATACACCAAAAAAAAGTAGGGCAAAAAGCCTGCCTAAAATTTTTAATAACAAAAAACAATGACCATTTGCCAAATGAATCAACTTAAGTAAAATAAATTTTTTAAAAAAAAAAAACAAAAAATATAACTATTGAAAATTCATTTGTCAAATCAATCCTTAAATTATATGTTTAAACTTTTAAAAAGGAGATTAATAATTAAAAGTTCATATAGAATTAAGGATTACATATATTTTAAGATTAGTCAAAGACAAAATTTTAGTCACTCTATATGGTAGTAGTTCTTATACTTTACCTATTGTCTCTTTTTAGTTTTCGTAATTTTAATTGACTCAATTTTCATGATAAATTTTATTTTTTGTATCAACTTATTCCAATAAATTACTTTCGTTAGGAATTTTGTTATAAAATGCATGCGAATGCCATTTGACTACTTTCAAGTGTAAAATATACTTTAGTCATTTCCTGTTTTATCTCTATTCTTTATGTGACAAACAATTTGTCTACAGCAAACAATCCCGCATCACATACAACTCTACTATCTCCACCATTATCACCTTTGCACCCCTTTGCCACCAATTAACTCCCACATTTCTACCACACTAACAGCCCGTTACCACTAAAAGAATACAACCACAATCATTAAAATAAAAAACAAAACATTTTCAACAAAATCATATTACAAGTCACCAGCAAATTAAAATCCTTCAAAAATTAAGATTGTTGGAAAATGAAAAGCAACTACTATGGCATCACTAGTGTAATTGCTGTCAAAGGCTCTATTGGTGAGAGACTTGGTTCCCCTATCCGCAGTCCATTTTTCATCATCCATATCACAGTCCCAAGTTATCCCAAAATTTTGAGTATGATAATTATTTTGTATATATAGGATGAAAAGATTATATGTATTAGGAATTTAATTAATGCAAAACTTCCAACACTAATATGAAAAATTACCTATAAGCAAGA